CCTGAGAAAAACAGCTCTCGGTGTATATACCCTTAGAGATGCACCTCTATGTACGTATATACCCTGTTGTCTCCCACAAACCTTCTACACCAGCCATTGTCTCCAGGCTTTTGTTTACATGGGCCACCCTGCTTCATCACGCCATCTTGGAATTCACCAGCTGATCCAGAGCCTGGCCACGGATTGCATATTAATTACAGATATTACGATCATTACCGCCTTCCTTTTACGCTCGCTGTGGAACACCCATCCTGTGCTCCTCTAGTTCTTGTGGCCCAGGTACCGTTCACTCCTTGCTTCACTGATGATAGTGTGTTTGGTGGTGGTGCGTTATGGTGGTGTTGGTGGGGATGGTGGTAGCGTGGTAGTTTGGTAGGATGGTGAGTGGTGATGGCGGTGTGATGACAGTGAAAATGATGGTGTTCTAGGTAGCGGTAGTGAAGGTGGTGATAGTAGAGGTATCGATAGTAGAGGTGGTGACAGTGAAGGTGGTGATAGTGAAGATGTTAACAGTGAAGGTGGCACGTTATTTGTGGCCAAGATACAATAGAACCAAATGGGTCTTGGACCCAAATATTTTTTACTGCCGACAAAAAAGAAGAAAAGACACACTGACAGAAAGATCTTTCATTGGGACAACATTTCGCTCTCTTTAAATCTTTATCAAGTCATACAGAGGATACACACTACACACACACACACACACCTATGATCTGGTATGGCAGGAAGATTCGGGGAAATGGTTGGTGTCTGATAATCGTGATTCATCGTACTTAATTTTACTCGCCTCATCTCTATAAGTCTTGATAAGAATCTTAACAGTGAAACTTTGACCCCCCCCAAAAAAAGCTCTTTTTCTTCAATAAAGCGTCGGAAGTACTTTGGTGGTAGAAAGAAATGCACTAATTGGAAGCTGTATTGACTTGATAAAGGCCACTGTAGCCGAAACGTTAATGAAAGTTCCATATGACTGCATTTGCCTCTACCATCGTGATGGTATCCCATGGTAACCACCTCCATCAATTCATCGTGATGGTATCTTATACCATTACCTACTCGTGGTAATTACCTTCATCAGTACTATCAACCACTGAGCCATGCCTGGAGCATAATACTGATTGATTTAAAAAATAGCCAATACAGTTATCAAGTGGAGTAAATCCCCTTACACAGTGATCACTTGCTTCAACACAGAAAGTGAACCTGACCCGGCCCGTCACCGATAATTTACATCCGGATTATTTTTCGCCATTCTCGGCTAGTTTTTACGTTGTGCTGAGTGTTTGTGTGCTAACCCCGAGTTTCCTGCGTGACCCGTAAAGTCTCCTCTTCCACCTTTCCTGCTGACAACACCGCCCATTTAGCGAGGTGTTCCACCTTTCCTGCTGACAACACCGCCCGTCTAGCGAGGTGTTCCACCTTTCCTGCTGACAACACCGCCCGTCTAGCGAGGTGTTCCACCTTTCCTGCCGACAACACCGCCCGTCTAGCGAGGTGTTCCACCTTTCCTGCTGATAATACCACCAGCCTGTTTCTTCTGTTCCACCCTTCACACTGTCAACAGTGCCTAGTAGAACTACTCTTACCTGCCGAAGCTTCCCATTTCTAAATGCTGATTGTTAATTTGTTTAACAAGCATATGTACATGATATGGGTTCTGGTACCTTATTGCGTTGCTCAACCACTGCGCTGCTACACAATTGCCCTGCTACCCTATTCCACACGAATTTTATACTGTGGGAAGCTCTTGTTATATTTCTTAGTCATATGCCATCACACAAGACGAGTAGTGAAATGTGTCAGCCAGAGCCAGGAGACTTCAGTAGGGTGAAAACCCTCCTGAGAGGTTCAAGCCGTTCCTGAGGTGTTCAAGTCGTTCCTAAGAGGCTGAATCCGTTCCTGAGAGGTTCAAGTCGTTCCTGTTAGGTTCAAGTCATTCCTGAGAGGTTCAAGCCAAGAGGGAAGGTCACTAACCTCAGGAACACTACATTCCGCTTTAAAGACGCATGAATCACACCCAGAAATCGTTTTTTACTGGTATGCTTTATTTCCTGTCTGTCTGCTGGTAATGTGTGTGTGTGTGTGTGTGTGTGTGTGTGTGTGTAGGGAGGAGGCGCGCGGGGGTGTTCACCCGTGTTGTTTACCTCCATCAAGCTACAGGTCAAGTATCAGATACTGCCCGGACACAGGTAACTCTTCCCAAGAGGAACTTGGACGAGTGCCTGAAGAAAAGTGGACCCAGGTGATCCGGTACCGACAATAGCAAAGAAGATACACGAGCTTTTGAGAACAAGCTTTTATTGGGACAGTATTTCGCTCCGTGTAGAGCTTTGTCAAGTTAGGACTTGAAAGTTTAGACACATGTGCAACATCTGGATATCTTTATTGTAGACGTTTCGCCATCCAGTGGCTTTATCAATACAGATTCTAGGACATAATTAGAAGACAGTAGAACTATATACAAAAGATGAGGTAATCAGTCCCTCAGCCTTGGAGTTAGTGTTCACAGCATCGTGGTGGAGGAGAATCTGGAGCAACGGCAAGAAGACTGACGGTTATATAGGCGTCAGTGGATAAGGACGTGTAGCAGACGAGGGCATAGTTACTGGTAGGCGGGATTCCCCAGTGGAAGTAGTTCCTACCCAAAGGGATGGGTTAGTTGTAGCAGCCGTGAATAAGGTCTTGTAGATGTCCTCTGAACTAAGATTCCATGATGTTGCAGTGTCTGACAAGTTGTGCAAGAAAGGTATAAAATACCGACACTATGAAAGTTTAGACACATGTCTAAACTTTCATAGTGTCGGTATTTTATACCTTTCTCATCGTTTGTATATAGTTCTACTGTCTTCTAATTATGTCCTAGAATCTGTATTTATAAAGCCACTGGATGACGAAACGTCTACAATACAGATATCCAGATGTTGCACATGTGTCTAAACTTTCATAGTGTCGGTATTTTATACCTTTCTTGCACAAGTTAGGACTTGATGAAGCTCTACACAAAACGTTGTCACGGTACAAAAAAAAAAACTTGATATAGTTGTCAATGAGCAGTAGTCGCATGAAGTGGCAGATGTACTAGGAGAGGTCGCTAGCACCAACAGCCTGGTTGACCAGGCCGTCAACAATGAACTCTAGCTTCACGCTGGGATCTGAGAGTAGAACAACTCTAAGAAATGGGTCACAGGTATATCTTCATGAACCACCACAACCATGACTATTTCCATTAAGCTGGCATAAATAATTACTGCTGGGATCATCCCCACAGCTGCGCGATAACACATCAGGCATTCTCTTGATCAGTCAGGCTGTGAATGAAAGCATTACATCCTCTTAGCTGATTCTTGTGTAGGCTAGCTGATTCTTGGGTAGGCTAGCTGATTCTTGGGTAGGCTAGCTGATTCTTGGGTAGGCTAGCTGATTCTTGGGTAGGATAACTGCTGTTTAGCCACGAACTTACTTCAGAACTTGGTCAAATTCCCTTGAAGACAAAGGTCGCTTTGTAATCTTCCTTATATTTAATGGGAGGAAGTTTAAAAGTCTTGGACCCTTTACGCTTACTGAGTTCCGCTCGTAGTGCACTTACTGCACCCCTCTTATTACTGCATTTTTTTGCAGTTAACCGTCTCTTTAGATCTTATCAGGAGTAATTTCAGAGTGCGATTTTGAAATCATGGTGTTAATTTGGGTTAACTTGATGCTTTATGTGAATAAAATGAAGGAAGAAAAATTAACTGAAGCAATAAGCAATTTACGTTTCTATCATGCAAGAGTACTAAACGTGTGGGGGGTGAAGTGGGAGGGACAATCTACTCAGAGATAAAAATGGAAGACAAGAGAGATCTTTATATATCGGAAGAAAGAAAATCTTAACCATGGTGTTAGGAAAAAATTCCATTCTTGCTATGGGAGTAGGATTTCTGGCCCAGGTGTGTGGAGCATGTGGACCAAGCCACAACTAAGGTCTCAGCAGAAGCACCTTCAGTCAATCATCAGTGATTGTGGTGTTGCGTGCCGAGGGTGAAGATTTCAGTTGCTCTGAGTGTATAATATGGGAGAAATTATACTAACGGACTAGTATAATTCACCCACAATCTGGCCACGTCGAAACCTACTGGATCATGGGGTTACATGCGAGGTGGGTTGCCTCCTGGTATATAAAGGCTCCATCATGAACCCAAAGGTTGTCCAGTTTTCGGTTCTAATTTGTCGGTTAGTTGTCAATTGTTCCTGCCACGCAACAGTGATTTTTTAGTTAAACTTATATGTATATACAGCACACACACACACACACACACACACACACACACACACACACACACACACACACACACACACAGCTCGAATGCCACCAGTGAGACTGTACCATTAACAAGCACAAGTTACATCACCGAAACAAAACTTTAGGAGGCAGACAGGGAACCGTGTTAAGCAATTGCAAGGGGAAACCCCTTTCTTACTTATCTGTAAAACATCAGTGCTATTTTAGTCCTTAACATAGTGCCTCTGTAAAAATTTCCACCGCAATACATGGACAATGTATTGCGGTGGAGTACACAGGAGTACACTCTAAGTACAATAGGAGTCACTGTATCCTGAGTACAGGAAGGGCTATCCAGTTAGAATACTGTGTACTGTAATTGAACCTTAGGAGTATATAATTACCAGATTTTTAGATTGAAAACAGACATGTTTCAGAACAAGCTTTTATTGAAACAAAGTTTCGTTCTGTATAGAGCTTTATCAAATAATTTTGGCTTAATAAAGCGCTACATTGTGCTTTATCAGTTTGTGTACTTGTACTTGTCAACAATATGTCATTTAATGCAGAACTACAACCTAAACCACAAAGAATACCATAACGTAATTAAGGTACATTATTATTGTTATTATTATTAAGAACATAAGAATAGAGGAACACTGCAGCAGGCCTACTGGCTCATATTATTATTATTAAGTTAAAGATGATACTTGAAGCATATATCATAACTAAGGAGTAGGTCTCTTAACAGGATCGAAGGAGGCCGCGGGTGGCTTCCGCGGTCCAGATGACACTGTAACAGAAGAGAGGATTCAGCACATCCTTAGCGAGGCTTCCAGAGCCATGACCTCGACCTCTGTGCCCAGCCAGCCAGGTCAACAAGACCAGGACTCCAGGAGCACAGACTCCAAATCTCCAGCAAGTTCAACACACTCCCCCAGGTGAGACTAGGGACTAAACCGGGGTTTCTGGGAAACTAACAGCAAGCACCAGACGAGCCTGGCCTGCGGCCGGGCTCCGGGAGTAGAAAAACTCTCGGAACTCATCAAAGGCATATTAAAGGTATAAAGGTGCTGTTGACAATATAAAAATAAGTAATAACCTTAGAAGTCCAAGTGAAGAAAAGACGCTTGTATAACAGGCTTTTATTAGCACAGAAGCTTCTATATGTTAAGATAATGATCTTAAGTCGAAGCTGTCCAAAAAAATACGCGTTCTTTAAATTATATTGTTATTGATCAGTATAAACTAACATTTTTACTACCATTCATTTTTACTACAAATTGTAGTTTAGTGTATTTTTATGACTTTTTAATAAATAGAAGTACACTTAAATGACGTTAATTTTGATTTCTTTGAATACGCAGTATCTAGAACATCTTAGGAATCTACTCTCTAGTGAGCCTTTCTATTTAAGTGTGGTATGGCACCTAGCTTGGGTAGGCTAGCTGATATCTGGGTAGGCTAGCTGATGCTGGGGTTGTTTAACTAATATCTGGGTAGGCTAGCTGAAGCTGGGATAGACAAGCTGATATTTAGGTAGGCTAGGTGATCTGGGGTTAAGTAACAGATACTTGGGTAGGCTAGCTGATACTAGGGTAAATTAGCTGATAATGAGGTAGTGTAACTGATACTGGGGTTAAGTAACTGACACTGGGGTAGGCTAGTTAATATTTAACCACCGATAATCAGGTCATTAACTAAGACCCGTGTCAGGAGACACTTGTCCAGTTTCCTGATGAACCTACCACCACCACTTGGGTTTTTTTTTTTTTTTTTTTTTGGTAATAAAAAAGTTAACTCAGTGACGCTAGTGGAAAAATACACACAAAAATTCAGTCACTTAAGACTTTGCTAGAAACACCTCGGGTCTGGGACCTTGGATTGCTCCAGATGCTCAAGGTCGCAGGACCTAAAAATTTTCACTAAAAAAATGTTCTAAGTGGTTGCAGTTTGTTTCATTTTCAATTACTTGTTGACATAAAATGCCAGCAAATAATTTAAATGTCTATATTTGTTTATTGTTGCAATAATAATGAAACCACGGAACGGGTAGGACTTGAGCACATAGCAAGTGAGTCGCTCAACTCCAGTTCGTTAGCCACTCGGCTAGCTGAGCTTTAGGACTCACTGGCCATGCGCTTCAAACCTCACCCGTTCAATGGTTTGTTTACAATCGTATTATTATGACTTCGTGAGTCATAATAATAGTAAGTTAATGTGTGGAAACTCTATAACCCCTTTGCACCTCTCCCCAGCAGCCCATTGTCAAGAGACAGTCGGCCGCGAATCAGAAAGTTCGACAACGACGACATGCCACAGGAAAAGGTGGCCAGAATTTACCAGGAGGAACTCGTCAAATTGATGTCGCGACCCCACGAGCCTCCGCTGCCCCTGCCCCGGGATCCTCAGTACCCGGGGATCCTCTTCCCCTTCCTGAGCCAGTCACTGCTCTTCAACAGATCCCCCGAGGAGGTGAAGATGGCTCTTGATGCCTATCACCAGGAGCTGAGCAAGCTGCAAGGCACCGCTACTGGCATGGGTCTAGGAGCTGCTGGTATGTTCACTTCTACCTGTAACTTGTACGCACCAAATGACACTTAGATTCAGTGGGGATCTTGGTATCCACTAAGTATCTTGGTATACAATGAATACCTTGGTGTACAATGAATACCTTGATGTACAATGAATACCTTGGTGTACAGTGAATACCTTGGTGTACACTGAATACCCTGGTATACATTGAATACCTTGGTATCCACCGTATCATTTACTCCACCTTGTAGTTAATCAGTTGATGGTTCCGTGGGTCATGACCCAGTACCCTCGCGATCCGGTCTCAGACCAGACCTTCCTATTTATGGATTGATTAGCAAGACTTTTTGTTTTTACCGGTTGCTTGAACTTTTATAATGGTTCCGGAGATCATCGCCCTCCCCCCCCCCCACGGTCCGGTCTTACACCTGGTTTATCTACTGGCGGCATGATACATCAGGCTGTTGGTGCTCACTGCATCAACAATGACTAATGAATAACTGATTTTTTTTATCGCTGATGCATAACATTCCTGTGAAAACCTGAAAGCTAATGTATTATTTCTCCCACTTTGCATGGTTAGGTCTAGGAATGGGCGGAGCTGGCGGCTTGGGAGTGGGCGTGGGAGGCTCACTAGGCATGGGTGTGGGCCTAGGAGCTGCAGGACTACACAATGGGGCACAGGACCTCTCCTTGCCCAAGAGGGAACCCCAGAGAAACATGGAGGAAGAGGACGAGGGGCGAAACATGAGTGTTGCCTCACCTTTCGGACCGAGCAGATCAAAAGCTGACACATGTAAGTAGTAGTAGTAGGAAAGAGAGAGAGAATGAGACTCACAAAACAATGGAAAACGTAGGTGAATGCAAGAAACAATGCATATCTAGGTTATGAAGTTATTGGGTTAAAGCTGTCAGCGGGTGGGCATGGATGTGTACGTAGGCATGGGCGTGGATGTGGGTATGGGCGTGGATGTGGGTATGGGCGTGGATGTGGGTATGGGCGTGGATGTGAATCTACAGAATGTAACTACATGTTCATCTTGGTATTGAGTATATATAAAATATCTTTTGTTATTCTAGGTATACGACTGGATGTGAACAACAGCAGCCCTCAGTGTGGGTGTATATATATATATATATATATATATTATATATATATATATATATATATATATATATATATATATATATATATATATATATATGACTTTATATATGGCTATAAAACCTGGAGTTGGCCAAAATAAGGTTGGTGTGAAAGTTTATCGAGTACAAAAGGTTAAGGTGATAATATGAATGATGAGTGTGGGAACTGTAGTGTGTGGGGAAGGTACTGTAGTGTGTGGGGAAGGTACTGTAGTGTGTGGGGAAGGTACTGTAGTGTGTGGGGAAGGTACTGTAGTGTGTGGGGAAGGTACTGTAGTGTGTGGGGAAGGTACTGTAGTGTGTGGGGAAGGTACTGTAGTGTGTGGGGAAGGTACTGTAGTGTGTGGGGAAGGTACTGTAGTGTGTGGGGAAGGTACTGTAGTGTGTGGGGAAGGTACTGTAGTGTGTGGGGAAGGTACTGTAGCGTGTGGGGAAGGTACTGTAGTGTGTGGGGAAGGTACTGTAGTGTGTGGGGAAGGTACTGTAGTGTGTGGGGAAGGTACTGTAGCGTGTGGGGAAGGTACTGTAGTGTGTGGGGAAGGTACTGTAGCGTGTGGGGAAGGTACTGTAGTGTGTGGGGAAGGTACTGTAGTGTGTGGGGAAGGTACTGTAGTGTGTGGGGAAGGTACTGTAGCGTGTGGGGAAGGTACTGTAGTGTGTGGGGAAGGTACTGTAGCGTGTGGGGAAGGTACTGTAGTGTGTGGGGAAGGTACTGTAGTGTGTGGGGAAGGTACTGTAGCGTGTGGGGAAGGTACTGTAGCGTGTGGGGAAGGTACTGTAGCGTGTGGGGAAGGTACTGTAGTGTGTGGGGAAGGTACTGTAGTGTGTGGGGAAGGTACTGTAGTGTGTGGGGAAGGTACTGTAGTGTGTGGGGAAGGTACTGTAGTGTGTGGGGAAGGTACTGTAGCGTGTGGGGAAGGTACTGTAGTGTGTGGGGAAGGTACTGTAGTGTGTGGGGAAGGTACTGTAGTGTGTGGGGAAGGTACTGTAGCGTGTGGGGAAGGTACTGTAGCGTGTGGGGAAGGTACTGTAGTGTGTGGGGAAGGTACTGTAGTGTGTGGGGAAGGTACTGTAGTGTGTGGGGAAGGTACTGTAGTGTGTGGGGAAGGTACTGTAGCGTGTGGGGAAGGTACTGTAGTGTGTGGGGAAGGTACTGTAGTGTGTGGGGAAGGTACTGTAGTGTGTGGGGAAGGTACTGTAGTGTGTGGGGAAGGTACTGTAGTGTGTGGGGAAGGTACTGTAGTGTGTGGGGAAGGTACTGTAGTGTGTGGGGAAGGTACTGTAGTGTGTGGGGAAGGTACTGTAGTGTGTGGGGAAGGTACTGTAGTGTGTGGGGAAGGTACTGTAGTGTGTGGGGAAGGTACTGTAGTGTGTGGGGAAGGTACTGTAGTGTGTGGGGAAGGTGGGATACTGTAGTGTGTGGGGAAGGTACTGTAGTGTGTGGGGAAGGTACTGTAGCGTGTGGGGAAGGTACTGTAGTGTGTGGGGAAGGTACTGTAGTGTGTGGGGAAGGTACTGTAGTGTGTGGGGAAGGTACTGTAGTGTGTGGGGAAGGTACTGTAGTGTGTGGGGAAGGTACTGTAGTGTGTGGGGAAGGTACTGTAGTGTGTGGGGAAGGTACTGTAGTGTGTAGGGAAGGCATTGTAGTGTGTGGGGAAGGTACTGTAGTGTGTGGGGAAGGTACTGTAGTGTGTAGGGAAGGCATTGTAGTGTGTGGGGAAGGCATTGTAGTGTGTGGGGAAGGTATTGTAGCGTGTGGGGAAGGTATTGTAGTGTTTGCAGAAGGCAATGTAGTGTGTGGGGAAGGTATTGTAGTGTTTGGAGAAGGCATTGTAGTGTGTGAGGAAGATATTGCATTGTGTGGGGAAGGTATTGTAGCTTGTGGGGAAGGCACTGTAGCGTGTGGGGAAGGTATTATAGCGTGTGGGGAGGGCATTGTAGTGTTTGGAGAAGGTATTGTAGTGTTTGGAGAAGGTATTGTAGTGTTTGGAGAAGGTATTCTAGTGTGTGGGGAAGGTATTGTAGTGTGTGGGGAAGGTATTGTAGTGTGTGGGGAAGGTATTGTAGTGTGTGAGGAAGGTATTGCAGTGTGTGGGGAAGGTATTGTAGCGTGTGGGGAAGGCATTGTAGTGTGTGGGGAAGGCGTTATAGTGTTTGGAGAAGGTATTGTAGTGTTTGGAGAAGGTATTCTAGTGTGTGAGGAAGGTATTGTATTGTGTGGGGAAGGTATTGTAGCGTGTGGGGAAGGTATTTAGTGTGTGGGTAAGGTATTGTAGTGTGTGGGGAAGGCATTGTAGTGTGTGAGGAAGGTATTGTAGTGTGTGGGGAAGGTATTGTAGCGTGTGGGGAAGGTACTGTACTGTTTGGAGAAGGCATTGTAGCGTGTGTGGAGGGTATTGTAGTGTGTGGGGAAGGTATTGTAGTGTTTGGAGTGGCATTGCAGCGTGTGAAGGAAGGTACTGCAGTGCGTGGGGAAGGTGCTGTAGTGTGTAGGGAAGGTATTGTAGTGTGTGAGGAAGGTATTGTATTGTGTGGGGAAGGTATTGTAGTGTGTGGGGAAGGTATTGTAGTGTCTGGGGAAGGTATTGTAATGTTTGGAGTAGGCATTGTAGTGTGTGGGGAAGGTATTGTAGTGTTTGAAGAAGGTATTATAGTGTTTGGAGAAGGTATTGTAGCGTGTGGGGAAGGTATTGTAGTGTGTTGGGAAGGTATTGTAGCGTGTAGGGAAGGCATTGTAGCGCGTGGGGAAGGTATTGTAGTGTGTGGGGAAGGCATTGTAGTGTATGGAAAAGGCATTGTAGCGTATGGGGAAGGTATTGAAGCGTGTGAGGAGGGTATTGTAATGTGGAGAAGTTATTGTAGCGTGTAGGGAAGGTATTTTAGTGCAGGGAAGGTATCGTAGTGTGTGGGGGAGGTATTGTAGTGTGTGGGGAAGGCATTGTAGTGTATAGGGAAGGCATTGCAGTGTGTTGGGGAGGTATTGTAGTGTGGGGGGAAGGTTTTGTAGTGTGTAAGGTACTGTAGTGTGTGGGGAAAGCACTGCAGTGTGGGGAGTAGGGGTTTGCATTTTATGTGGGGAGGGATCGCAGTGTGTGGGAGAGTTGGGTTCTCTTCCAATAAGAGGGGTTCGAGAACTCGTAACTCGTAACTCTCAGCAGTTTGCACCTGGCCACAAAACAAGAAGCTCTCAACAAGTAACTCACTACTCACAAAATGTCCACAATTCAGGAAACTGAAGGCACAGTTCTCTAAGGCACTTAACTCACAACTCACACCACAGAGAAGTTGTATCACTCACAATACACGATCACAATTTTCAGCAAAGGATCACAAACACAAAAAATTAATTTTACTCTCGCCTTAACTCACAAAGTACATTCCATCTTCAAGATTTGGTTCTCGAAATGGTCACATTTTACAAAAAAAAAGAAAATTCCCAAAACATTCACAAAATATCTAAAAAATAAATGAAACATTCACAAAAAATTAAACTTAAAAAATGACAAAACACTAATCATCACTTTTTTCACAGAACTGAAATAAAACATTAGACATTCACAAATTTAAAACAAAACATTTAAACATTCAAAGCACACTATAAACACAAAAATACATTCACAAAAACACTTTGTATTTTTTTTTTGCGTTAAATAACGCACAAAACATTCACAAAATTCTTCATAGATGCTTTTATGTTTTGTGCAGAAAAACGCGCCCCACTCACTGACAAATTTACATTAACATCCAGCAAGACGATAAGAAATAACAATTACGTGAGCAAGGAATAAAAGTGAGAATATAAACATGAACTCTGGCACTGTACAACGCCATTTAAACAACCGCAACAATTGACACAATATTTACACAATACCCGCGTCATAAGTGACCAGAACGATAGCTGACTTGCTATGCATCTTCGCAACAGAGTAACAAAACATCTATTGTAAGGTTACATGGTGCCAAGGAGCTGGAGGGGGTTGAGTCAACTTGACTAAGACGTACTCATGCTGAGTGCACATAGGGATTTTAGTTGAAAGAGCGTAGATACTCAGTCTAAGAGGTACGTAGGTTTTCAAGCTGGGAGAGATTAGTAACCAAGCTGGGAGAAATTGGATGCACTTCGATAATAATGGTATGCAGATAATAGGGGTTGAACATGACATATTAATAAGTGAATATACATCAAGCTCAGATTACAACATAACAGAGAGAGAGAGAGAGAAAGGATATACAAACATAAAAAAATACCATTTAAAAAGTTTCGAGTTACACATCAGAGCGAGATACAAATCCACTTACTAGCAATAGTTTGCTAGTCCTGATTCTTATCCACTGAAAGTGGGTCATTAAGGCCGCATCTCTCTCTTGTACACTAACAACGCGAATACTATATTCATTCAAACAGTACGAATATACATACTGATATACACATTTCGGTAGAAAATACACACACACACACACACACACACACATGTCGTGCCGAATAGGTAAAATTTGCGATTTTGGCTTTAATAGCAACGCTCTTGTTGCTTAATAAGGCAAGCTAAAATTTGTGTATGCAATAATTTCACAAAAATCATTCTGAACCTGACTAAAAAATATATTTCAATGTGTTTGTATATTATTAAATTACTGTAAACTTATCTAAAA